ACACACACAATCTTGCTATGAAAGAGGCCGACAACATCGACCCCTGCTTTTTTTTTCCAGACACGACCGTCAGCACACACGTTTTGATTTCATTAGTGGCCACTGCTACCCAAGGCAGCAGTCGGGAGGTTGGCACACAATAAGCGGCTAATTTTGGCGTCCTACAACTTCTCCGGCTAGTCAATAACTGGCTTGATATCTATGTTGGTGGTTATGGCAAAAGCATCAGTTTAAACGCTACAATGCAGAGATAGAGTTGATATACTCCGAGGTATCTCGAGTGATCAGCCTGCTTGGCAGGGGCCGAAAGTCAGTGGCTTAGTTCTTATTTGAAATGTACGGTTAACAAAAACAGAAAACGGTTCTATAGCATTTCTTTCCAACGAACGATATGTGTATTCCTATCGCTCTCTGTCCGGCTCACAAGCCGTCAATATAAAACACGATCTCTACTTATTGTCACAGAGGCATGACATAGGAACCTAATTCAAGTAAACATCTCGGCTTGAACGCCATTGAAATTTCCCCTCGTGATAGCGGTGGAAGTTTATTTTAGGTTCCAGTCCAGCACGCAAAAACCCAATCTTTCTTCAATACGGGGCAAGCGGTAATAAGGGTTAAATTTGTGGGGCATATTAGGGGAAGGAAAAAACAATTAAAAAATTAGAAAAATAAGAATAATTACTTAAATAATTTAATGGTTGGTAACAAAAAGCGCGCCATATCTAGAATGTGCAAGCGTGTGTTGTGTTAGTTTGACCATCGCAAGCGATGATGTCAAATGTGCAAGCACGCAAATATCGGGAACTGCTCAAATTTATGCATATTCCCGAGGGGAACTGGCAAGACGACGAGGCCACTGAGTAGTGTTTAGGGCGTTGGAATACTAGCCAACAAGTTGCGGGTTCAAGCCTCGGGTTTCGCAACAACTGGGGTTGGGTATGGCTGACTGATGACGGCTAAAAAGCCAGAAAGGACCATTCCAGTCTCCATCATCTTCGTCGGTGATGTCATTCCCTCTAGATCATTATTCGCTATGCGGCTGCTGACGGGGGCTCGAGGGAAAAAGCCATAGACACAACAGGACGAGTAATTTCTTTAGCCGATCGGTGCACACTTATCTACCATAATTCAAGATCTGCACACCCGAGAGCCCTCTCCCCACAAATCACCATTGAAATATGTCTTTTTAGGCTTAAACACATACTCAGAAAGAAAGCGGGAAGAAGCAAATCTTTTCAACTTACCGTACTGCCAAAGAGACGGTAGTTGACCTTCCCGTTCTCATCTTCATCGGGGTCTGTTGCCGTGACAACGCCCACGACCGTACCCGCCTCTTGCTCCTCCTCAATCGTGAAACGAAAGATGGGCTGACTGAAGGTCGGGGCATTATCGTTCACATCGATCACTCGAACGTGTACCGTCAGGCTGCAACTTTGCGGCTGTCTGCCCCGATCAGTGGCGCTGACCAACAGTTGGTATTCGGAGACCGTCTCTCTGTCCAGCGGTTCCTTCAGCAGGAGACGGCCAGTGTGAACCTCCAGGCGGAACTGAGAGTTGTTCACGTTCTGGTTACTGCTGCTGCTGCCACCGCCGGTGCTGCTGCTGCCACTGACCAGCTCATGCATCAGGTTGTTCTCGCGGTGGTCATCGCTCATCTTCTCCCCAGTCTTGTAGACCTTCGGAAAGGTGGAGATAGCGGTGACGCTGAGGAGGGCGTAGGTTACCGGTTGCGGATCCTCTGGCCGGTCGGGGTCTGTGGCGTTGAGCGTAGTGATCAGACTACCCACTGGGGCATCCTCCTTGATGGAAACTTGCAGGGGGTTGACCGCAAACCGTGGTGGATTGTCGTTTTTATCAAGAATGTTTACAACCAGTGTAATCTGGAAAACAACAGGAATAGATTGTAAGTTGAAATGGCTACGGTTTTTTAGCAGGCAAATGAAAACTCCATATGAAGGGAAAGCTGTGGTCTACAAGAGTGAGCACAGGTGGGGAGGGGGGAGGTTAAATGTAAATAAATGTGTAGATAGAATCATATGTGAGGGAAAATTCGGACCAGGTTTCTGCCCTCATTCACCAGAACAAATTCAAATTGGTTTAGGAAGGATGGGGTGGCCTAAACAGGACACAGAAAGAGGAACATCCCGTCCACTTAAAAGAGATGACCATGCGATAAACTTCATGAAGGTTTACTATTCCCGTGTCTTAAACCTAAAACTGACCTGGAGCTAAACTGTGACCTTAATCGTAATCCTAGCTATACATTAAACCCAAATCCTGCAGTTAACATGAATTCAAACCGCAACCCTTAACATAATCCTGACCATAATCCCAACATTAAACCTAATCCTAAACTAAATTTCACCCCCCCCTATCCTAATCCCAAAACTGATGTCCCTGGAATTTGGTGGAGAGCCACATGCATTGTGAGCGATTCCTGTAACACAAAATTAAACTGTAACCTTAATCTCAACCCTGCAGATAATCCGAACAGAAACCGTTACACTTAACGTAATTCCGACCTTTAGCCCAACCTTAAACCTGACCCTATAATCCACGTTAGCCTTCACCGTAGTCCTAAGTCTGACTTCCCCGGAATTTGGTGGAAAGCCAAATGTATTGTGAGTGATTCTGGTTCCCGTGTCTTGTTTAGGCGGCCATAACTGTCATTGTTGCGTCTTGTTCTTACAAATGATAAAGTTCTTCCAATCTCTAGTACGCACTGTGCGAATACGATGAGTAGTTGTTGAACATCGGTACTGTATTTAAATGTCAAATTATCCTTTGAATGTCTGTCTGATTCACATATATTTCTTCAGTCCGTCGGAACTCTCCGAATTCGTTCCATGCATTCGGTTCTGGGTGTGTATTGGTCTCAGTACGACGCTGATAAACCACACTTATGTCGGCGCATATACCCATAGTAATTAGTCATCCCAGTATCATGCACCAGCTTAACCTGGTTGTGCATGATCTAACCGGACCCTGGGTAACCGCCCGATTGTGTGCGCAGTCTGCGAACAAGGTTACACTGGCCACCTCCCTAGACAGCTGAGCTCGCGCTTGTGTGTGCGCGAATACCTGTGGACTAGCGAGTGAGAGCACAACAAGTACAAACAACTCCCCCCTCCCCCGGGGTCGAACCTGCTCCAGTATCAGGACACGTTGTGGACACCCAGGCCGACCACGCCCCCCGGATCTACCGGCTCGTGCGGACGATAGCC